GTTAAAGAAATATAGTTTGTCATTAATGTTATAATAATTAAAAATTGGCATAAAATCAATATTATACATATCATTGTTGAAATCGTTTTCATCGATTTGATGTAAACAACGTTTCAGTCTGAAATTTTGTTCTTTTTGAGAAGTATTTGTGGATATTGACAGGGTAAATAACGCTCAGAGCAATGAATCAAATCCAGAATTGTCTCTCGCGTTTTACTAATCCTGGTATAGGTTTATTTACACACTGCAAAAAACCAAATGTATCTAAAGTATTTTGAGAGGCTTTTACCATATTTGAGTTTCCTAACAGAAAATCGAAAATCCACATTGAAATCACAACAGTAAACTACATTGTCAAACAAAGGTGTAGTCTGCGTTAAGCAATCCTACGGATCATTCAAAACTTCAAAAACTGACTTTCCCGGCGGCCTTTATACAGAACCTACACCATAATTTAGCTTATTTATTGTTACTGAGATCCATATATGTTCCAAACCATCATAGTGAATATTATTCAAGACTGAAAATTCGTAATTATTCTTTATATAGTTTCACACACACCGCTCCCTCGCATTTGAATCCAGTCATGACATGATATCATAGGAATTATTATCATTTAAACTTTTTCAAACTTTGACACCCTGTATCTCGAAAACTAAGCATTCGCGGACCCATCTTTTTTCTTATTTTAATGAGTACCTACTATTTATCCTAAAAGTTTGATCCCACTATTCATTAACACCCTGTATACTAAATGAAACACGTTCATAACTATTTTTGCATTGCTTTCTGATTCCGCAAAAGCTATACCCACATAATTTTTAGATTAGAACCAAATAGGAACCTAAAAGGGTAAAACATTTTAAGTGAATCGGTGAATGTGCAAGGCGGTAACCACTCCTCGCAATGAAACAGTGATGTCTTATGGGGACTCAATTTTAAAAGCGTCTGTAGACGTGATAGAACGTGTGTTAGGGAAGTGAGTTGTATAAATAGTTTTTTTAATATGTTAATTAACTGAGAGAGTGTTTGAAAGTTGAATAAACATTGTTAAAATAAAAATATTACCAATTTAAGAAGCCGATGTTTGTATAAAATACGTATGTCGTTGCTTGATCCATAAGTATATTATATATGGGTAGGTACCTATAATTATAATAAAACTAGCTGACCCGGCGAACTTCGTACCGCCTCTGAATTATTAAATATACCTATTAAAAATGTTGTGTTAACGTATCTATTAGCTGAATTAAATTCAGTTTTTTTCGATGGTGAATTTGGCTTTGGTTGAAGAAAATTAATGTTTACTCTCTGGATCAGAAGGCACCTAAAATTAAAATTTTACATCATCCTTTTTTAGGCAGCTTGTGGGCATTATTCTTGTAAAGTGTAACACCAAATAAATAATCTCAGGCACAGGAATGTTCAAAGAATGTAAAGAAAACAAAAAAAATCTCTAGCGCAGCCCTATTTCACTTTATCTGCACTGCATGCACTGCACTACTCCATCTGTTCTACTCTATCTGCACTACTCTATCTGACCTACTCTTTCTGCACCACTCTATCTGATCGGAATAGTGGAATAGTTCTGTGCAGCATTGTTCTACTGTATCTGTAATGCCGAGCTTCGTTCCAGGTATCAGAGATGGCGCGGTATACAAAATACAAAATAAACTTGGTATCGGTTATAGACATGGCGCCGTATGCGGGCTTAGTAAATTTTTTTCATAAATAAATAAAATAAGTAATGAAATGACCACATTAATGACATAACAACATGCTGGTACTGTCAACGCTGAAAAAAGTTTGAATTTGACAGCAAAATGATGCTCCATTTATTGAATAATTAATTCATTACAAAAAATGTGATAAATGAAGAACCGCTGGACCGATTTTGTGGAAACTTCACATAAACCATCTAATAAATAGTTCGAACAAAGCCTAAACATTTGGTTTGGCTAGGTGAGTCCGTTCTTGAGTTATAAAATTACAACGAAAAGTGGCATTCATTTTTATATATATAGATAAAAGTGTACCTACATACTTGGTTAGTAGATGTACTTCAATAATCCAAAAAAATGGAAAAACAAATGACTGAACTAGTGATAAATAAATAAATAAACAATTCACCAACAATCATAACACAACACACAACCTCACTTTCTCACAGCTGGTTTTAGACCCGACGTACGTCCACCGAAAACAGACACTTTTAATTAAAATCATTTGTATTTTTAATTCATAGGTCTAAAAAAACAATTAGAGCACGAATTATAGAGAAATATGTTCAAAGTTTGACGTATAAAGGTCTGGACACACATGACCGCACCGTATCCGCACCGAGCCCGCACCGAGTCCGTGCAGTAACACGGCAGTGTGTCGCTCAATAAGGTAAAAGCCACACATTTCCAACACACGGCCGCATGACGGTCGTACTACGAGTGCGGTCGGTAGTTTGTCACTTCGTCAGTTGGCTTCCTGCCTGTACGTGTGCGTGAGAGAAAGTAAAATGTTCGCCAGCTTCAGTAACAGAGAATTGGCAGCAATAGCTATTGCTTTGGACGATGAGGAGGAAAATGAAGAAAATAGGGCAAAACGACGGAAAATTTGGGTACACAACGCTTGGAAAGCAAGACACGTTGAAGGCGAATTCCGCACGTTGCTTCCCCACTTTATTTCTAAATGCGTAGCAATTAAAGTCCATACCCTTTCCTTATATTCAGCATTCCTATATTTTTCATTTCTTTGGTCGTACAATACAGGATACTTTTTGACTTCTTCTATCAGTTTCTCCATTTCTGCAACGCACCGTGCCCGTCAAAAATTAAACAAAACTAATCTCGCACGGTACGGACGCGGTGCGGTGGTGTCACTCGGGCTCGGCGCGGGCACGGTGCGTAGATGTGAAGACTACGACATAAGAAAACACGGTACAACTATTCACCGAGACACGGCCGTGTCTCGGTGCGGGCTCGGTGCGGACTCGGTGCGGTCATGTGTGCCCAGACCTTAATAGGTTAAAATACTAAAAAATGCCCAGAACCCAAGATATTCCCGTCTGAAAATCACTCTTTTGAATCCCCCATAAGAAATACATTGCTGTCAAATTTGTTGAAATGTGTTTAGGAACCCATTTTAAATTTCGCGCCCGATTTTTCCTAACCTAACTAATATGGTGAATTCGCTAGCAAATCCTCGCAATCACCAGTAAATCGGTAGGTAGCAATTTCTCTTTTCAGTTGCCACAATCCCGCAATCCTCTCGACAGTCGCGGGATTCGGAAAGTCGGAAAAAGAGGTGTCTATAATTTTTGCCTTAGAAACGAGTAAGATGTTTGTGATAAAATAATAGTATTTTGGAATTTTTGGACCAACAAACTTTTAAAATTAAATTTACAAAATCTGAACCCATAGAATATGACTTACACCTACAAGATGATACAAATATTATAAGTATATCATGGATCAAACGAATTAAATGATGGCAATTATAATACTATGTTTTCCGTTAAAACCTATGAAGATTTTTTTCAAAGTATGTTCTTTATTTCTGCGTTGTTTCTTCCCCATTTCACTTCCAAAGATTTGCAACGGACTACTTGTCCTTTCAGTGTGTGGTCTATCTGAATATTTAGATTTTCTTAGGTTGCTCTGTCTCAGTGTCGTTTAGTAGGTATACGAATGTCTGTTTCCACAGAAATCTCAAACCCAGTTTTTGATTGGTACAAATCGTCGATGACGTCGACAACCAGTTCTCTAATTGTTTTTTTCTACAAACGTGTTAAAAATGCAATTTTTAACACCCCCTCGAAGCATTAAAAATGTTACTTTATTGCACTAGTGTTAAAAGTCTTTAAGGCACTAGTGTTAAAAATGAAACATCAAAATTTGAAAGCAAACGTCAAAAAAAGTTTGTATTTTTAATTATTTACATTAATATTAATGGTAAAATTTGAACAACTGAGGAAGCTCCATCGGCCGCCTCCTCTATATTTTTCAAGGGATTGATGCTACCCTCTTTTTCTTGTGTATTTTGTTGCATTTTTAGCAAAAAACTTACTGACCACGATAGACCATACGACAGACTTTCAAGAAACTGACGAGACATTTCATTACCTGTAAAACAAGGTGCTGGTTGTTTGAATTTTTTGACAAATATCAAATTCAATAATTTTACGTAGGAAAGATGCTTCCAATTTATTATTCATTTAAAAATCCAATTTGTCACTGGTTATTGCTTGTTATTGCCGTTTGTAGAAAAAATATTGTATGATATTTGTGTTAAAAGTATTTTTAAGGCACTTATGTGAATTGCAGAATTCGCTTCGCTCATTCTGCAAACTTTCACATGCGTGCCTTAAAAATGTACTTTTAACACTTATATCATAAATAACTATTAGTTATTTGTAATTGTTTTTCATTTCTGAGCGAACATACTCAGATTCATGTTTTGCAATCGCAAATACTAGAAATATCTAAAGCATTCGAGTACATTAAACTAAATAAACTTTCTTTATAGCCAAACAAAGTCCTATCCTGTCACATATAACATAAATAAACCCGAGAACGGCACATGCTCACAATTTCTATATACGCAGGCACGCGGTTTTGTGTGCATTTTTCTGTATTTTCTACGGAAAAAATGACACAAAACGGGGTTGCTTTTTGAAAAATCACCGGAGCGACTGTAATGCAAAACCTAACGTCTTTGCTATTCTGTATACACCGTCTTAAGGGCTCTATTGTCAATCGTCTTGAGGGACCGGGGTGTTTGGACACATCACGCTAGAGCAGAGATCGATAATGGGGGTGAAATGCCATATGTTCAATCGCAGAGACAGCCATATATTTATATCGCGTTACTCTTGCTAAATATTTTTAAGAAAAGTGGTACTTTGGGTACCTTTCAAGAAGGAATTGTTATAGTTTTCAATAGGCTTGTTTGTATATTTGCTTTTAATAGGTACCTACTTAATTTTTTACAATTTTTTTTTCTTTTAGTTCCAGATATCCTCAATGGTCGTGACATTAAAGTGGAACCGGAAGACTCAATTAAATCAGTTTTTCCTCCAGTGAGCTACCCAGCTTTCAGTAACGCATCAATGTTTACTCCATCGCAGCTCATTATGGCTAGCCAACTGATGGCAGCTTCAGGACTATCCAACCTAAATCCAGCTTTTTTTCATCCCAGCATGCTTCCATTAGCTTGGCCAGGGAATTCTCCTCCGTCTCCGCCGACTAGTAATGAGCAGCTTTCTCCTGCCCAAAAAGTACGCAAAATCAGTCATAATAACAACAATAATATAGTCACCAGTAGTACTGTTATGGAATCGAGAAAAAAAAAATGGAAAAGTAATGACGATGACAATACCTCTCTTCCGCTAGGTTCTCCTACCAGTAGTATATCGCCACCATCTGGAAATGACTCCAAAGAAGCTAACAGGGATAAGCAGTTTACATGCGGTGTGTGCAATAGATCTTTTGGTTATAAACATGTGCTTCAAAATCATGAAAGAACTCATACAGGAGAGAAACCTTTTGAATGTCCGGAATGCCACAAAAGATTTACTAGAGATCATCATTTAAAAACGCATATGCGACTACACACGGGAGAACGACCTTATCATTGCGAACATTGCGATAGGCAGTTTGTACAAGTGGCAAATTTAAGAAGACATCTTCGAGTTCATACTGGAGAACGTCCATATACCTGTGAACATTGTTCAGCAAAATTTTCTGACTCAAACCAATTGAAAGCTCATATTTTAATCCACACCAACGAAAAGCCATTTTCTTGCGAAAGGTGCCACAGTCGTTTTAGAAGAAGGCACCATTTGATGCACCACAAATGTGGAGTGCCCATAACAGAGCAACCAATTACTCCAGAACCTGAAGAATCTTTTACCCCAGAACCAGAAGATCTTAGCAGCAGCAGCAAACCAAGAATTCTCCATCCACCTATAACGCCATTTATCAGTTTACCACTGCAAGTGCATTTACCAGAACAAACCGAACCGGAAGATCTAAGCATGAGCACAGGCATGACTTCGAATAGTAGCGGAATTGGTTCTCCGTTATCCAGAAGCCCTAGCTGTAAGGAAGAATGCGAAGATGATGATTATAGACAAGAACAAATGGGTTTGTATATGAAACGACCTTTAAGTAATTAGAATTTGAAGATATAATTGATAATTTATTATAAAGTTCAGATGTAAAAATCAGGGTAATAGAAGAAAGGCTTGAAAAGTCAAATCAAGCGGTTAAGGTTTGCAGAGTGATTTGAAGATTTTGGGGATGAGTAGACAGACTTGAGGAAAGTATCTTGAAATACCTATTTGTTTTTAATACTTATTGCTTGCGGACTTTTTTTGCACCAATTATTTTCAGGAAGCCTCAACGATAAGTATTCCTTAAACTGACATTTCCCAATGTAAAAATGCTATTTTTAGGAATACTTATTATTAAAGCTCCCTTAATACAGTTAGTGCAAACGGCTATAAGTCCATTGATAAAATTTAGAAAGGTTGTTCATGCAATTTCCTCAAATCATTCTGTATATTGCGTTATATCACTATTTTCGGTACGATACGGGTTATTTTGTTTAGTCAGGTATGCGAGTTCCTAGGAATTAGTTTATTGTTAGCCAAATTTTTTGTTTTATCACCAAAACGGTATGGGCAAGTTGTCAAAAATTTGACCGAAGTCAAAAAACACTGTCAGACTTTTACACTTGGAAACCATAAAAACCAGCCGACTATCTGTTGGTTGCGTCAAATGCAAATGCAAAAACCCAGACCATAAAAAATGTACAGTTATGTCATAGTATTATACCTGCAAATTTTATGGTTTGAGTGGTAGCAGTTAAAACGCAAAATTTGCATTCTTTTGCGAGAAACTAGAGCGGGTGTCGTAAAAATGCCCTTGTCCCAGAAAACTATTGTCAGTTTGACGAAAATTAGTTGCAGATTGGTTTTGCGGATACTTTGACTCTTTGAAAGCCACATCGGTTGGAGACAGACGCAACAATGAGCAAAATTTATAGCAGTTTGTATTCCTAACTGTATTTTTGAGAAGAGAAATTTTAGGATCTCAAAATTTAAACAAAAAATAAACTCATTATGTCCATGCCTCAATAATCTTACCCTTCAAAATAATGGATAATAATTGAAAGGGCTGCTTTTAGTGCCAAAAATAATAAGAACATGCCTTTTTAGACATAATTGCTAATGGCGCCTGTGGGTAATTAAAATTTTGGACCCTTGTCAGTTTTAAGGATGCTCGAAGTTTAGAAAGCCACGCAATATTTTACATTTTGCTTACAGTTTTAATAAACAAAGTATGTAAAAAATCTGAACAAAGAACCAAACATTTTCGTTCTGGGAACATTGCACTCTGGCTACTTAAAAAAACGGGGTACTCTAGACCGCAAACCTGATCATAGTTTTGTCGGTTAACATTTCAATAAAATATGTAATTTCATCTATTGTAACAACTATACCACGGCATTAGAATTTAATCTGTAAATTCTTTCGAGTTCTATTATTTTTTCTGACATCCGACCCAACAAAACTAGTTTGGTTCTATTCATAGACCACCATTGTTATTTGACTTTGGTGGCTTTGGCTATTTTGACTATTTGCCCTTGCCGATGTTTAACGGTCTTAAATTTATGCAAGCCTTTCTTGAATAATATATGAAGAATAATAATTATTGCTCCATCTTTATCAGAAAAGCTGGAGCTTCAAAACTCTAAATTTATCTATGTATAAGTATTTAGTAGGAATTTTCCAACAATAATAAGTATTTTCTTATTTGTATTACCAGAAGTCCAGAAAATTCCTTAATTTAATGTTTTTTATCTATATTATTTAAAGAAATTTATATTTCATAAATTTAAGCCCCGATTTTACCTATCAGTCATTGTAATTGAATTTGTATATAATTTTAAACATATCTAAAGAGTGTATAAAAATGTATTTTGTAAATATAAAAATATGTGTGTTTGTTTATATTTTCCTAATTTTTCTTTGAGTTACTTATATGTATGTACAAGGTGGCTGTTTCATGTATTTGTTGATTATTTTTTATTTGTTAAATGTAAATAAATAATTAATTAATTAAAAAGATTGTACCAATTATCGGTCCAAAAAATACACAAAACCTTTTGCAATATCTGTTATATTTTTCTATGTGCCATTTTTGTTTTTCTAAGGGTTTTTGAAAATATCTCTTCTTCACAATCTTACAAACTTATACAGGGTTGTTCAATAAAAAAAAATCTGTAAAATTGAAATAAATGCAGAATTTATTCTGGATTCTCCACATTTTATCAATTGAACATTTAAATTTTGTCTTGTATACGTTCTTACAAACTATAGGTACCTAATCCCATTTTCGAATAAGAAACATTTAAAGACTGATTTTTATTATAGATTTTCTTAAATAAGAGTATCATATTTTTAAAAATATTGTATATAAGCTGTTTTCCCGCTGATGATATAATGTATAAAAAAAAACGACTACCTCATTCGAGTACAAAATATAAGATATTTGAGAAATGTTCAATGTTTTTTGATTGATGTAACTTTTAAGGGCTCTAATCTCCTTAAAAATATATAAGATTTCCTTGCCCGAAAAAAAGATAATGTATTTATCCAAATTTGGAATAATAGGATCAAGGATATCCTGTTACATACGAAAATACTATATGTCTGGTATTTGTATTTTGAGTGTTAATGCCCATAATTCCCCACCTTTATATTATACAAAATACCATTGTGATCTATCTTCGATCTATATTAATTGTATAAAATTAATGATTTATGTGTTATTACCTAACAACTTCCAAGTAATTCCATGATGTCAATATACCTATTTTATTATTAAACTATTGTTCGTTATTTATTGTGTCTTATTTTGAATCCTAAACTATCGTATGAAAAAAGGCCCATGGTTAATGTTTTTGAGTTTGCTGAGTAGCTTTCCAATAATTTCAAGAAATTTTGATAGTTTGTGGTCTAAAGGCACAAATGCTGAATTGGGCCATAAGCCGACGAAAGCGTCAGAACTCATCCGTAATACCACTTTATCAAGATAGCGTGAAGCAGCAGCAGTGCACAATAGCGGTACGATTATTAAAACTAGGTACCACATTGAAAATAATTTTGTATCAATAAAGTACATGAAACGAAACTAACCCAATGCGACCTAGGTCTTATAGGATGAATACGAAATAACTTACCTAATAGGGTAGTGGACAATTTTTTGATATATTTTTTTTATTAATCTTCATAACAAAATAAACAATTGTTGATGATTCTTTGATTTTAGAAAACCAAAATATACGTAAAAAAAAATTAACAAATTTGTATTTATTTTAAACGCTTTAATTTACCGCCAGGAAATTACGTCATAGCTGTTATGTATGTCCAATAGCGCGTCCTTATATTTCACATGCTTTTAAAAAAAGATGCCGAAAAACTCAGTGCGCACTGATTGACCAACAGAATTTACTCAAAAAGTGGGGTTATGTTGAGGGTGCGCCAAAATGTAAAATACCCGAGAGACGCTGATATATCTCTTTTTTGCACTAAAGAGTAAGTTTGTGTCGAATATTGGACGTAGGTTTTATTTAATTCATACTTAAATACAACAGCTATGACGTAAAATCAGAGCGCGAAATATTTCCGTTCAAACTCTACTTTTACCGTCGTTTTAAACAAGGTTAGTAATTTTATCTGAAATGTCTTTTGATACGAATATTTTTTATTTACTCCATAGATGAGGAATAGATCATCGATCTCATTGAAATTATGTCTTGTCCACTACCCTATTAACTCAACTCTCAACTTCATTGAGAAACTATCAAATTATTGGGATAGTCTAAGATGATTAGCATGTATATTGCGCTAGTTTGTGTTATCTTGTATTTATTTGATTTCAAGAGTATTCGTTTCTTTTTCTTTAGCCTATTATCACAAATTTTTAGACAAAGGCTTCACCCAATTCTCTCCAGTGTAATTCTGCGGTCTGCCGTTTATTCTGCGCTCAGAATATGATCTCGATTGTATTAGTTCTGGGTTCCATCACTTCCATCTGTGGTCTTGCGTCTTGCAAGGTATCCTGCTAAACTCCATTGAGGATGAGTGAATTCTGATGCTACAATCTCCAATCTGGGTCTCGCTCTTATCAAGTGCTTTTTTTAATCGGAGGGGCTTATGTTTAGCATTCTCCGCTGCATTGGCCCTTTGAGTCTTAGATAGGTTTCTAATATTGTTCTTTGTAAATGCCCAAGTCTGACAAGCATGTATCGCTATAGAGAATATCTATATACACATTACACATTAGTTGAAAACATTACTTCTTAGGTGAAGTGAAACCCCATGGTTGATATGGTTCTTCAGGATCCATGAAAGCTTGCAAAATTATGTCCATACTGGCTTTGTTTTCCGTACAATTGCTTTTAGTGGAAACTCTGATCAAGGTAGATGTATTTGTAAACTTTCCAGAGGGATTTTCAATAGCGCAATTTGTCATTACTCTTGTGATCCCCATATTAATGTAGGTATCAATATTATTAGGGTGCATTATCTAGAAAGTGAACACATCTCTGACAATTTGCCAGAGGCAGGTCCCTTTGAAAAGAGCAATGGCAGGTGCATGCAGCGCCGGCTCAAGGCTCTACCGGGCCCTAGGCGGCAGAAAGTATGGGGCCTTAGCCCAAAGTAACTTTTTACTGTTTTTGTCCAAATTGAAAAAAAAGCCTTTCAAAATGCTGCTGGAAAGTGTTTTGGAATGTTCTAAATGGTTTTTTGCAGTTCACAAGTGTTCTTACTTGGCTTGAAGAGTTCTGGAGCATTCTAGAAGTTTTTCAGTAATTTCTAAATTGTTCTGACAGATTGTTAAGTATTTTAGAGCCCTATTGAAGCTCCAAAAAAAGTTCTAAATTGGTTCAAAAAAGTTCTAAAAGGTTTCCAGTACTAAATTAGGATTCAATTTAGAACCTTGAAATTGTTCTAAAATAACTCTGAAGTTTCTCAATTGCTCCAAAATGCTCCTGAAAATTCTGATTTAGATTTGAACTGCTTTAAATGCCTTTAAAGAGTTTTAAAGTTTTACAGCGATCAAAATTTGCTCTAAAAATCCTTCTGAAAGGCGTTTTG